TATTACTGTTTTAAAATGAATATATTTATCATATTCCAACATGGACGTCAGTCAAATTGTGCACTTCCTAATTGTTTACACGAATGACATAGTATAGGGGGGTAATTTCACACAGAGAAGAATGATCTTTCCAGCTAACTGAGCTAAATCACCATCCTGCCCAATTACATCCAGTCTGGATAGTCACAGTGCAATACTGGTAAATCAGATCTTCTTCTAGGGACATAAGCTTTGCTGGAATTTATGAAATGTGTCAGTTGTCCTCACAGAAAGTACACTATCAGCTACCATTAAGCCACTCTGTACTATCGCTACATGCCTGATGTTTCTGCTGGAGCACAGGATACAGGGTTTTGTTTCTGGCACTAGGCCTATCTCCCATTTCATGGATTGATAATTTGAGGCAGTTATTCTGCAACTAGGCGCTCCAAATTTGATGCCCATTTAGGAAATGAAATGTTATATCTATTTGTTTGACTGTGGAAATTCTGGGTAAGTACCTTATGTTAGGGTACAAGAGCCGGGCTTCTCCTTGTGTGTAACTCCATGCCACGTGCTGTCTGTTCCGTCTTCATTGAGGTTACCTTTAATAACGCACCTCTGTCCCCCACTAAAAGCTAGTCTGTACTCCTCATGCTAAGGAGCCTGCTTCTCTGAAGACCCCTTACAGATGATGCTGTGTTGACAGTCAGATCTGACCTTATTCTGCACCCTCAGTTTCAGGTGCATCCAGAAGCTTCAGAGTAACCAGCAAATCCCTTTACACAAGGTTAGCTACTGAACAGCTGATGTCAGTGGAAACCTCTGTCCTCTCCTCCACACTCATTCCTCTGTGTGGTCCCCCTTCCACAACCTTTATCCATCTTCTTCTTTTCCAAGATCCACTCCTCCTTCCCTCTTCCCTCAGTCCCGGAGTCCAGTACTCATTTTACCTCCATTGCCCCCTTGTGGGAGTTCCTGAAGTACATACACCCAGACATGAATGTTTCAAAACTTGGTTGCATTAGAGTGACAGAGGATCTTAAAACCAGGAAGGGCACATGTGATACATAGCACTGTCACTAACGCTGGCCAGTGTAAGGACGAAGGTCGTCTCAAGGTCTGCTAATTTACTAGAAACTTGCTACACACATGTAAACTTACACATATGCAAGGTGCTTCTCAATGCAATGGAAAAAACCTGATTTTGCGCAAACATCTCTGTGCTATCGCCTTCTTTAAACAGACTAGCAGATTTTGTTGTTAACTGCTATTGCTGCCTGTCACGGGTCTGTGGATAAAGATGGCAGCCCGCTTTAATTGCAGGGGATTCCTGTCACTTCCAGAAGGGTGACCGGCAGCCAGCGACACTCTTCCTACAAGCATATGTGCCGCCGGATTTGTTTGTGCTTGTGCCTTTGCCTGTGGGGGCAGATGGCGGATGACGGTCTTTTCAGGGACACTGTCCCATTACCCGCAGTGTGCTTCTCATTACAGATTCGCATCAAGACAGACGTCGATGGCAAAGCATTCATGGGTTTGACTATGAACAGCTAGCTATTAATTGCAGAGGCATCACCCAGGTGCTCCCAAAATACCAGGATATTATTATGAAATATGTTCTGTGGGTGTAGAAAGTTCCAGTGTATTTTTCGGGACTGACATAGAAAGAGTGCAGTGCCGTGCTGTAATACCACTGCAGGGCACATCTATGGAGTCTGCTGTTCCTCACTCATTGGAACTGATATTAAAGAAACTGAGAGCTGATCCATCAAAGGCCGTTCCCAGTAGAGCTTCTGGACTGTGGTCACACAAAACGCTACAGCTGATACTGGTCCAGCCTAGAGCTGCTACTGGTTAATACCACTCTTACATACCTTCAACCAGCATAGAAGTGGAATTCAGCTCCTTGCATTGTTTCAGGAATAAAAATCATTTGTAAAGGCAGAGGAGCGACACATGTAACCTGCCTTTTCTCAGGCAGCCATGGGGTTTGCTGCTAAATGATCAGCCAAGCAAACACCTCCCTTGGATCATGACTGGCCTCTCTGTGGGGCGTCCAGAGGCCCAGTGTCGATGTGAAGGTGCCCCTAACCCCGGGAGGAGGAGGTGACACACTGCAGCTTGTTTTAGCTCTCAGGCCTGCTCTGCCCAAGCCTATAAATGGCAGAGAGCAGAGCCAAACCAATGGGTCCTAAGGCACCAGGGACCTGAGTCAAGGGCAGAAACGCAGCATATCCTGCCTACGCTTCAGCACATACTCCTCACTGCCAAAGTAATTAACTGCACGACAGTGCAGGAAAGGAAAGGAAAAGCAGTATAACAGGGTAATGCTGCCTGCAGGCCTAAACAAGGCAAGATATCCT